AAAAAACCATAGTTTTAATTAAAATAAATAAAAAAATAATAACTTTAGTTTTTATTAAAATAATTATAAAAAAGTTATTGGTAGATATTTCCCACATTTGGTAGATTTTTTTGAAGTCGATGGTAAATATTTTTTTTCGTCAGTGGCAACCCTGTCTGTAATGCTACTTAGCAAACCCTTCGCAACATTGTTAGCCATAAAAAGTTTACGACGTACATCAATACATATACACTTGGGAATACCCCAAATAATTCAAAATAAAACCCGCTGTTAATAATGCTGAATAATTATTCTCTAAAGAATATAAGAAGGGCTTCTAAAAACAAAATACGTACATAAATAGTCTAGAAATAAAATAATTTTTGTTTTTTTGCTCTAAGTCAGAAGTAAATATGCATGTCCCAGTAAGTGAAAATGTATAACTAGCTAGTAGATACCATTCCATTATGAATGTACGTATGTATGTATGTATGTATTTATCAGTTGATGTAGTAGAATAAGGCATAACTCGTGTTGTCTTGTGTTGTGTTATTGGGTATTCTTTTCGAAATATGTACACATACATACATATAAATAGTTAGGCTCATTAATCGTGTGCCGTGCTTTTTTTAACACACACATACACAAAGTAACGCTTCGAGCTTATTCCCTTTCATATTCCTATTTTGTTTACATATGTATGGGTAAAAATCTATGAAAGTTTTGTTTTATAGTTTGTATGTATGTATGTATGCATTTATGTAAGCATTAAAGTTTTGTATGTAAGGCCTTTCAGACAAATTACAGTCTAAAAAATTTACACTGGCGCAATAGTTTACATTTTACTATATACCAAATTACATAGCTACAATAATATTTCGCTAATTACCTCAAGCTCTTCGCTAATTGTGGGATTTCATTAAATTTCACTAATTCCATTAACGTCAGCGTGCCATGTGTGTGTGTGTGTGTGTGTTTGTGTGCATACCTATGTACTTATGTGGGAGGAAAATTGCATTCCTGAATTACCTACAAAGTTTTAGTTTTACAGATTTGCGCTCTTCAGAAATGCGTGTTCTTAAATAAATGCTGATACAATTCTAGGTCTTTTTCATAAGAAAATACGAAACTAAATTGTTCAACAAAGAAAGCTATCCGCTACGCTCATATTTAGTTAGTGCTCGTGCCAGACAACTCAATTATACTCGTAGTTAGGGTCGATATTTAAACGAATACAATATATGTACATACATCCTTTATCATTATTATGCATTTTACATTCATATGCACAGCTATCATATTTTATCAATAACATCAATCATATGCACATTCACTACAATCTTTTTTTTTTTTGTTATTTTATCTCATTTTTCAGGTTACCGCATTTCTCTAACGTATGGATTATAAATGTTTAATCGCCAACTTCCGCGCGCAATATGTATTTGTATTTTAGCTAAAAATAATTGATATGACAAGTTTTAACACCATATATGTGTATGTATGTACAGTTCAATGTAAAACTAAACTAAAGCTCTTCGTATCATCCAAGTTTATGAGCTGAATGAGAAGTAGAAAAATATGTTGCAGAAAAATTAATGGAATAAAAGGAAAAAATTGTGATTTTGAGAGAATTTGTCACCCCTGACATGGATATGTAAGTATAAAGAAATTTATTAAATGCACTCAATAATTTGAGAATTTTATTTACTAAACGTACATATGTACATACATGCTTAGCGAACATAATTTTTAAATTTACTATGTTTTTTTCACTAATAACATGGCAGTGATGTCTTAGATTAAAAATATATATTTTATTTTATGCGCAACGTAATACTAAAATGGTAAATGAATTAAAGTAAAATAGAAACGAATAATTATATAAATTTATAAATATACATATATTGTGTTTGTGTGTAGGATCAGACATGGTAGGGTTTGAACTGTTGAGATAAAAAGACTACAATTTTTATTTAAATGCCTCCCAGTGTCCGCGAGCGGTGCTAGTAGGTGTATATGAGAAAAATTCACAAAAATGCAAAGGCTTAAAAGAAGTAGTTTTGATTATATATATACTAGACACGTTTGACTATAATTTTAGATAGTTACGAGCAAAATAAGTTTGTGGTACAGGCTTCATAACACTTGTTATATTCCGACGCTAACTAAAAATGGATTCTAGGCATTCACTTTCAAGTAAAGTCCATATAGAATTTGGTTATTTTTTCTATGCTCTTCTATCTCAACAATTCCGCAAGTTTTTTCGAATCGTAAATATTGGCAGAGTGAGTGTTAATCTTCGGCTATGCCTTTTGAGAGAACGAACATTCTGCCCTAAATGCTTACTAAACTTACATGAATACTTCCGAAGTGAAACGCATCGCAAATTTTACAACAAATTCCTGCACATTGTCAGTTTTCAAAAGTTAGAAAACACTTACATATCTAGGCATTACATATCTGGAAATTGTTTCTCTGCAATTTATTTGAGCCAGCCAATTGTTGAAAATATCTTCAAAAAGCCATATAATATATGGTAGCTTAATACGATTGACCGCTTTCTTTAACCCGCGTTACAGTTTTTGTTAAGATTGGTCCACTAGATACATGCCTTTTTATTTGTATTTAAAGAACTGAATTGTTTCTAACATATACTATGTTTATGCATAGGCTAATTCACGAATTCATTTCAAGAAATGGCGAAGTGCAAGTCCGGCAAAGCCACTTTTCACCAACAGCTGTTTACTACATAGGGCTATGATGTTTTTAGATTAAAAAGCATGAGTGGCATAACCAGGATTTAAAACACTGTCAAAGTTATGTGGAATCGTTCAAATATATGTAAAATAAATTCAAATAGAATAAATTGAAAATATATTATATCCAATTTAAATATAATATGTTTCATTGCCTGGTACCAACGGCTTTTGCAAACTCACAAGGAGACCAGAAAAGTTACAGCCCTACTGTTTAGTTTCTCGCCAGTGCGTTGCCACATTTTTAAAGCACTAGATTTCTGTCGCTCAAACGTAGAAATAGTGTGCCCTTCAATATCGTATTTTTAATCTGTTTAACTTTGCCGAATCGGACTTTGAACATATGCAACCATTTTATTATGCAATAGGCCGTACGATTGTTCAGCATTTGCTACTGAAAATGTTGAAATATTACAAACTCGTACATTTAGATAAGTGACAGTCAAACCATTTAACCAAATAGGGGTGTTTCCGTAATTTAATTGTCACCAGTCCAGTTCCGGTACTATGCTATATATTTTAAAAGTGTAACTCAGAATCTAGATTTCACCGAGGGATTCCAGCAGAAATGGCGTGTACAGATTTATCTTTTACTGAGGATGAATTCTTTATGCTGACTCTGAAATTTGTGAGGGAGAAAAACGAAAAATTAAAATAAAGATTTTGGTAACTCCAAATCATTACGATGCATTGAATAAGTAGTATTTGATTGCCAGACAAAGATTGGAATGATAAGACTACATTTCGAACTAAATTATAGACTTTAGAATTGAATCCGATTTAAGTTTGTGACAGGTGATAAACATTTTGATTCCAATTAACCGTTGAAACACAATGCCGGCGAACGGCGAATTTTTCGCCGCGAATGTTCGCTGTAAAAATTGAAACACGCTGGCATATTTAAGAACGCGCACAACCAAAGCAAACGGCGAAGTTCACACGACGACTGTTCGCGACTATGGACTTATTTCTATTGCCGTCGCTTGCGGCAGCGGCAAAATACGATCCATTGTGGCCAAATGCTAAATATTCCCAGGTTTTTAAATCGAAATTGTTGTTTGTAAAAATTTTAATTGTACCCTGTCATAAGCAGCTGATTTCGTTGTCGTCGTGTTGTGTTTTACTGAGCGAAAATTTTGGGAGCAGGTTGCTGGCGTCGTCGCTCTACTGGGCGAAAATTCGCCGTTCGCTATATTGTGTTTAAACGATAAGTCTGTATTGATATAGGTAAAAGTTCTCAAAAAGTTATTTACATTTCGAAAAAAGAAGTACATACATATGTACATTATGGTGCATCACGAAAAACAGTTACGGTTTTTCCAACAGAATTATAAAATTTATTAAATTTTAAGAAGTGAGCTGGGCCGATTTCTTACTGTTCTTAGACATTTTTATGCCCACCTTTTTAGCTTAAACTCTTCTATCATTTGAGGTGATTTTGCTGAAAAAAATTTAAACTTTTATTTATAAAAAACTCGTTTTTTGTGTTATTATCAAATAAGACTAAGACTTCCGCCTCTAATAAAATGTAATAAATTTTATAATTTCGATGGGAAAACAGCACCAATCGTTTTTTTTTGTGATGCACCTTAATGGACATATACGCAAGATCTTCAAAAGTGACACAACTCAAAATTTGGCATTTTTGAAATTATGCACCAAAAATGTACACCGAGCTTTTATTCATTTTATTCTGCAAAAGCTGGAACAAATCTTTGTTATAATTTGTTGAAAAAACTTAAGGTAAATGTATTCTTTGCCTATACGATTAGCGTGTGCTACAAAATATTTTTTCGAATTTTCTGACGAACGCATAATTTTGAGTTATGTCTATTTTGACGACGGTGTGCGATATCTATGTATATAAATATATAGTATTTATGATATTAGTAGGAGTATTATGCAAGCATATAGTACAAATGCTACTATGGATGTCTCAAACATTTCTGCGCCAATGGTAAGCTATTGAAGTTGTAGAGCATAGTACTTTAGTTTCGGGGTCGAGTCGTGATTGAAAATGACGAATTGATTTACAGCGAAAAGTTGAAGTATAAGAGTGCTGCCTCCATTGAATTATGTAAATCGTATTAAGTTAATTTTTTTTAAAGGTACTTTTAATTAATATTGCTGAACATACTATGTATTTTTATTTATTTATTTATACGTATGTATGTTATTTGATTTATTTACGAGAATGGTCAGTTTAGTTTTTTATAGTAATGTCTGCATGTAACCATATTTTATATATATATTATATTAAATTAATTTTTTTTATATATTTATGTATATGCACTATGTATGTATGTATATGGAATTATGTTTGTATATGCATGACTTATTTGTTAGCAGAAGTTTATGGCATGGCTTCATCTTCAATTAATGCCCCCTATGGTATTGTTTATGCTTTCATGTTACAGGACACGTATCTATGTATGTATGTATGTATATGTACTATGAGTCTATGTAAATTTTTATATTTGTATATTTATTTAATTTAAGTCATTTAAAATAAAGGTATTGTTGCTTTCTTTTTGCTACAATTTGTTCTAGTATTTACATTATTTATTTGTTTTTCATAAATTTTCACCTCCTTTCAATAATCTAACTATAACTTTGGATACAGTTTATATATTTTTTAATTTATGTATTTACTTGATTTTTTCCTAATATTTATATTTACTATATATTCCGTCTATTTTACTACACTCTTGTTATTTTGCCCAAACTATTTCTCATTTATGCATGTACGCATGTGTTTTTTTTTTAACCATCAATACATATACTTATGCATTGCTTTAAATTTTTTCTTTGCATTGCATTTCCATAGCTTAGTCACATTTGTGTGCTCACCAAAAAAGTTCTTTCTGATCTCGTCAAATCAACGCGTAAGCGAATAGTTTCTTTCGACTCTTCATATTTCGCTAAAAAAATTACAAATTTTTCTGTTACCATTTTGTCTCGTGTACATACATATGTACGTATACGTAAATATACATATGTATGCTTCCAACTTTACATGCCGCATACGCAATTATAAGTTTTTATGTACATATCTGTATATTCGAAAATCGATAATCCATTGGGAGTATCCTATGCATACAAAGAGGCAATGCGCTGAACAATCCAATAAACCAACAGTTCCGTGTTTTGTATAGTGTTTATCCTTTCGAAATGCTCCTTCTTGCGACATTCAAGTGCTTGTAGGTTTGTTTGCTATTTTGCTTGTTTTGCATGTTCATATTATGTACGTATGTGTAGATAAGTAGCAAGTAGTTAGTATGAAGAATAATGAGTACAGCACTTAATTCACGATAGTAAACATTAATAGGCATATTTTGTTAGAAAACCATAATTAGAAAAAGACAGCGATCAGCAAAAAGTTGAGTAAAAAAGATTTCCAATACATTCATGTCCATTGTTCATTATTATAATGAAATCAATACTGAGGTTACTGTTAGTTAAATGTACAATGTAATAATGTAAAGTGCTTTGTTTGCTTGTTTGTTTAGCATGCTTATTGTTTTCAAGTAATACTCCTTAGAAGAAACTCTTCAAGAATCCAGCTGGTCCAGCCTGTAAGAAGGAAATTTAATCAATTATTTTTTATTCACATATTAACTAAGAACACGATACATATCCAAGCTAACAGATTGAGCTTATTATAAACGTTATAACACTTATCATAAAACAAAGAGTTAAACTGGCTCCTTGCGGTTACATTTATATGCATTTTTTGGCTGAAATATTTTTATGGTTTTGATAAGAATTCACCTGCAACTAGAGACGTTCAAGATGGAGTATTCAAGGCAAACAGCAGGCTCTGTTTCAACTTGGGTGGAGAAAGGAGACTCGTCGGGCAAAAAGAACCCTTGCAAATGGCATGAGTAGGAGCACTACTCCGAAATCCCTCAATGTTGACCTATAGCAGGCCTTACCCATGTCCACTCAACAAGTTAAAGAGCATTTACTCTCCCTGCTGCTTCCATGCGACTAAACTCCCAAAGGCGATAAAGAAGAGTCAGAAGTCAAACAACTGAAATATTTAAACATGGCACAAGTAAACCTACAAAATTCTAAAGTAGCTTCAGACATTTTTACAGCTAAGTTTCATGAAGTTCGCTTTGACAGTGCCTTTATTCAGGAGCCATATATCTCTGGGTACCAGAAAAAGAGATTTCTCATTTCAGAATGTACTTCTGCAGCACTCCCTAAAAAGGCGCAAACTCCAACCATGAAGCCTGTTAACATCATTTGGTCACTGGCCGATATTTTCACCAAAAATGGGCTATATAGCGATTCAAAGAAATAGGAACTAGGAACAAGGAATCGGTAAAACCTTTCTTACCGGCCACTGCTGGGCAAAAAAAAAAAACACATGAAAAACCTGGAAGATATGTACTTATTTGCTCTGGCCAGTGGAGGTTCTGTAACGAGGAACAGGGCTTGCTTCCTTAGATCAGCTTACCTAGAATACGTGACCTAAATAGCATTCAGCTGTGGTCATTGCCTAATTTGCATTATGCATTTGCATATGTGCCGTGGACTATTCCTTATACAGACTTGACTTTTAATCTCTTACTATCGAGCACGCCGATATTTTTCAAGCACTAGCTATGCCAGAAACAGGAAGATATTCAGCCTTATCCTGAGTTTCGCCCGAAAATATTGACCCGAAAATTTCTCATCCGCCCACAGTAAATACATGGAAACCAAGAGTGAAAAGCGAAAGTGGGGAAAGGGCCCTCATCAACGTGTGTAATTATATGAAATAAACTTACGTCTTGTTGCTGCTGCGTTTGTGCTTGTTTCACTTTTGCTTGAGCGATCTTTAAGGCTCTGAAAAAAAAAATAAAATTAACATTTATTTAGAAACTGTAACTAAAACTCGTATATCGCGCATTGGTTTATCGTATGCGTACTGTTGTAAGTCCATAATAGTTTTCTCCTTAGCGTTCTGTTCCTCCTGGGACATTTGCACCAACTGAAGCAATCGTTCGCATTCGGTGGTAGCCTTTTTGTGCTCCTCCTTGGTATTTTGTAATTCCTTGACGCAGCTATAAATGAAGAGAAAAATCGCGTTAATATTCCCAAAATGTATAATTTGTTAATAACTTCTATGCAACTTACGCTTCCAGTTGTCGCTGTGTATCCATGAGTTTCTTATTGAGTTCACCGGCTGCGGCAGCACCGCCACCTTGCGTCTGCAACGATTTCTCCAACTGATCCATTTGTTCCTTTCGCTTGCGTAGCTGCACATCGAAGTCGGCCATTTTCTTCTCCTTCTCTTCGATATCCTTGCGTTTGGCTTCGATTTGTTTGCGCTGCTCTTCGATAATCTTGCGTTCGCTCTCCGTTGCCTTTGCTTGGTTGTCGATTTGCTTGCGCACCTCTTCCAGTTGCTTTTGTTGCTGTTCCAGCTGTTGGCGTTGCACATCGGTGGCAGCGGCGCCGGCATTGCCAGCTTGTTGCAGCTGTTGTACTTGTTGTTGCAGCATTTGTACCTGTTGCTGCAGCTGTTGAACCTGCTGTTGTGACGTCTGTAGCTGCTTCGCTTGCTCCTGGTTCGACAGCTGGAATTGCAAATATTATTGAATGAATTTAAAAAATGCACAAGTTTCGCATTCAGCGTTCCCACGCTCACCTGACTCTTCTCCAGCTCTTGTACCAGCAATTCCAGTTGCTGCTGGAAGCGATCGCGCTCCGTGCATGCAGCTTGCAACTCACCTTTCACCTTCTCCAGCTCCTTCGAAACTTCTTGGGCATTACCAGAGACTTGTTGTTGCTGCTGTTGCTGTTGTTGTTGCTGTTGTGCTATTTGTTGTTGCATCTTCTGCATTTGTTGATGTTGTTCTTTGATGTGTTGGTCCATCATCTGTAAAATGGAAGCAAGATTATTTATGTGCCTACTTCTGAATAAAATCTCATTGCTGTGATTTTAATGTTTACTTGTATGCGTTTATGCATTTCTTGTGCGGCTTTGTCGGCCATTTCTGCGCGATTCTTCTCCGCTTCGAGCACCTTACGCCATTGTTCGACCTCTTCGCGATTGGCGCCACTCGCTCCAGCTGCGGCACTGGCCCCCTGCAGCGCTTTTTCTGATTCCTGCAATTTCTGTTGCAGCATTTGGATTTCTTGTTGCATGGCTTGTATTTCTGCTGGCGCCGCCGGTGCCACGGGATGGCCGTTGCGTAGCTTGCGGTTCTCTTCACGCGCCTTCTGCAATTCCGTTTCGGCATTTTGCAGTTCTTTTTGGAAATTCATTAAAATCTCTTGGCTCTTCTCTAGCTGCAGCACCAATTGTTCGCGTTCGATGGCTAGCTGCTTGCAATCGGCTTCCAATTTCTGCATGTGCTTTTCCAGTTGTGGATGCGGTTTGTCGGCGCCATTGCGTCCCGATTGGCGTAGTGACTCCTTCTCGGCCTCTGCCTTCTCGAGACGATCGTGCAGGCGGCCGAGTTCGGCAGACATGCGTTCGAATTCGATTCGCGTCGATTCGTTCGCCTCCTGCTGTTTGGCCAAATGCATCTGCGCCTTCTCCAACTCCTTGGCGAGACGGCCCGCTTCCAATTCGGTGGCATCGCGCGACTGTAGCGCCTTCTCGAGCCGATCGCGCAATCGATCGATCTCTTGGCGCTCGCCCGCCGACATCGATGCGCGCACCGTATCGCCAGGGCTGATGGCCGACTGTTGCTGCAGACGCAATCGCTCCACCTCCTTCAGCAGTTTCTCGTGCTTGTCACGTGCCTTCTCGCGCTCAATATGCGCCCGCTCCAATTCGCTACGCTGTTTCTCTTGATTGGCCAGTAGCTTAGCAACCTCGCCCTTGGACAATTCCAATTGCAGGGTGGTCTCATGCAGTTTGGATTCCATATTCTGTATCTCATTCTCAATCTTCTCATATTTGTCTTTGTATTTCTCGAATGATTCGGACTCGTATTGCGACTTGCCACGTATGGTCTCCAGTTCCATGAGGGTCTTATCAAGTTTTTCACGGAGGCGCTCATTCTCCTCCTTAAGGCGGCGGGTCTCACGTCCAAATGTATCGGTGTCCTGAAGTTTACGCAACTCCACTTGACTCTTCTCATAACGCTCGCGCATCTTCTCCAGCTCAACGGCATAGTGCGCTGCTTCCTCTTTAGCGGCTTCCACGCTGACGCTCGCTTTCGTTTGTGCGGCATGTGCACGCTCCAATTCGTACGAGACACGCTCCAGTTCCGATTGCAAATGATCCTTTTCGCCTTGCGAACGACGTAAATCAGTTTGCAGTTTGTCGAAGCGTTCGCGATTATGATCGAGTTCGACGCGTGCATTGTCTTCGCTCTCCTTGGCTCTGCTAAGCTGCAGCGCAGCACGATCACAGGCTTCCTGCAGACGTGTGCTCTCCTCCTGTAATTTGCGCAGATCCTCGCGCGCTTTGGATGCGGCCAGAGAGGAACGTTCGGCTTCCACCTCAAGGCGTGCGCGATCCGCTTCGGCAGTATCACATCGCGATTGCAAACGGTAGATTTCATTCTGTGCGCGATCGTATTTTTCAAGCATCTTCTCGAACTCCTTATTCGAGGTGTCCTTCTCATCGATCAGTTTCTGACTGGCATAGAGCGCTTTGTCCAATTTCTCTTTGAGTATTTCGACTTCAGTGACGGCGTCATCGCGCTCCATCTGCAAAGAGGCACATACATTAGTAGAGAGGATACGTAAGGTGTGGATAGGTTCTCAGAGTAAATCTCCAGTCGATTTGATTATATGAGACGGTAATGTTTAATAGTAATTACGCTCGTCTATAGTTACGTTTTAAGGGTAGAATAGAACACAATTTACAAACAGCCAATTGGTAACTTCAATGCATGCGAATTGAAATTGAGTTGTGATTAAGTGACGCTTTGAGAGCTCAGCGTTTATGTTAAGCAACTTAGAAGCCAATTCGTACAATGCGCATATAGTTATGTAAAGTACCTATAATATATGTAACTAACTAGTTAGTTAGGTATTTATGTTCGTATGTATGTATGTATGCATGTATATGGTATAGTATGTAGTTATAGAGATGTGAAGAAGTTGAAGGTTTTGTGCGTTGTGGTTGTTCAAATAGCAATCAAGTGCTTTGCGTGTAGGTATGTGATTGTGCGTGAATGTTTGGATGGGGGCATTACCTGTAATTTCTGTTGTATGGCGTGCGACTTTTCATAACGCTCCTTGAGCACTTCCAAATCGGTTTGCATAGCCTCTTTATCGCGCGCCGCTTTCATCAGTAAGGTTTGCGATGATTCGGAGCGTTCTTTGAGTGTTTCCAACTCATCGGAGAACTGATCCCGCTCCTTTTGTATACGTGCTAGTTGCATCTAATTTTGTGTTCGTTTATTTTTTATNATCAGTAAGGTTTGCGATGATTCGGAGCGTTCTTTGAGTGTTTCCAACTCGTCGGAGAACTGATCCCGCTCCTTTTGTATACGTGCTAGTTGCATCTAATTTTGTGTTCGTTTATTTTTTATTTTTTATTTTTTATTTTTTTGGATCAAGTTTACAAATAAAATATTCATATACTCTTATGTAACATAAGTAAGTATGTAGTTATGTATGTATTTACAATAACAACATAAAGTTTACGCCATTCACATATACATACAAAGTATTAGTTGTTATAGGAACAGTTTTGGTTTTAGTTTTAGTTTCAGTTTCAGTTTCAGAGTTAGAGAAGTTATAGCTATATTACATATGTAAGTAGGTACATACTACACATATACATATGTATGTAAGTAGTTGTTGCAGTATTAGTAGTTGACAGTTATATTAAGTAGGCATAGACTATGCAAGGAAGTTTTTATTTTTTAAGAAGTAGTCGTTCTTCGTTCTCTGCTATGTAAATATTTATGTATGTACATACAACGACTAAGCTAATGTGTTTAGGTGCACATACACATATGCATGTATGTATATATATGTACATATGTGTAGCCACTAGCTCTACATACCTGCGTCTTCTCCAATTTCTCGCGTATGCGATCCGTATCAAGTGTGAGCGTTTCACGTTCCTTTTGCATGCGTGCCGCCTGACCCAGCGCCTTGTCCAACTGTGACTGCAAGTTGTCATAGTCATAGGTAAGCTTCTCCTTTTCGAGCACCAAACGTCGATTTTCAGCAATCGATTTGTCGAGCTTCTCCTGCAAGTGATCGACCTCGTTCTGGGCTTTATCCAATGAGTTCTGCAGCTTCTCCTGCTGCAGTTGTGCCTTGCCCAGTGTGGCCTGAGTTCGTTCCATTTCTTCCTTTATCTTCTCCACCTCCGAGAAGGCCTATGCGAATGAGAAAAGAGAACATTTTTGTAACAGCAGAAAATGTGGTAATGATTCAGCCAATTAATTGAACTGCTATCTGTTTAGAAATGGAGAAATTATTGTGGGTGGGTGTGAAATGCTGTCGCAAACTTGAATTCATGAGCAACATATTAACTCGCTGAAGGAAGATGTGCCATGACAAAAAATTATTCTTCTACTAGTGCAATGATGGACAAACAAACACAATTTTGTATTAAAACAATAATAAAATTTATTCTATATTTAGCATCACATAATTTATAACATGTATCCTAACAAATCTGAAGTTAGTTTTAAAAAACTCAAAATAGCGAATCCAATATGGCGTCCAAGAATTCCAAATTTTTTTTTGAATCTTAATAAAATTTGGTATTCAGATGTTTATAAGTTGGTTCATTACAAATTTAAAACTAGTTTTCGAAAATACAAAATGGAAAATCCAATATGGCGTTGGTTAATTGGTTGTTTGACAGTTCTTATTTCATAATTCAATTCCAAATTCATTTGAAATCACTTATTTTGCTAAGAAAAAATAGGGGACATTTTTAAGATTTTTTTGGTTTGGAAAAAAATTACAGTTGTTGACTAAAAAAGCTTAAATGTGATATAGAATTCAAGATCAGTGAGTCTTAAAATTAAGTAGGTTTACTTTTTGAGAAAATTGCCTTATTTCTTGAGAAATTTACAGCGTATTTGACTGCAGTAAAAATTTTGTTTTGACGTAAAATTCCAGATCAGCGTGCCTCAAAGCATAATAGCATATAAAAAAGACTTTATTTTTAGAAAATTGATAGTGTATATTGACAGCTGTCAGCTGTCAACCTTTCAATTTCACATACAACCCGTGATCAGCGTTTCTAAAAACCTTATCAGGGAATTTTAAAAATGTTTTATTATTTTTAAATAAATTAACAGTCCAACTGATAACTGTCAACTGTCAAACTTTTAATTTTTTGTAAAATCTGTGTCTAAAAACCTAATCAATGGCATTTTCAAAAATATTTGCTTTTTATTAAGGACCATGAAAGTTTATTTGACAGCAGTCAAATGTCAAACTATATATTTCGTGACATCTTTGGATTTAGCATGACAGTCATGCTACGATACTACAGTTTTAGATATTAAAATCATAACATTTTGCGCGTAAAACATGGCCTCCCGGACCACTCTAGGACGTAGTGAAATCCAGAGATTTAGGGCCGTTTTCTCAAGTATCCTGTAACTTTAAAGTTCACTTTATATTTAAAGGTTACATTAAAATTTGTGATTGTGCCTAAAGTAGAGCATTTTATTACCCGTTTTAAATTGGTTTACAACCAAGAAAGATACATACGTCATAAACCGATAATAGAAATGCTTAACTTTAGACATAGCTTTACTTTTAATGCAACCTTTAAATACAAAGTAAGCTTTAAAGTTAAAGGTTACATCAGAAAACGGCCCTTAGTGCTTTATCCCCTACAATATTAGTAATAACAATGGCTTTGTTAGATAGATCTTGAGCAGCCGTTTACTTGAAGATAGTGAAGCCAGACTCTATTACTTCCTGTGAGAATGCCTCTGTCTGGCATTTTGGAAGCATGCGGCGCTTTAAACGTACAAGGTAATACTTCTAACAAATCCAGGTAAATACTTTAAACATCCCTGCGCACACTTAAAGCTATAAAAGCTTATTTTGCTGTCTGGGCAACTTTGCTTTAAAGCATTAAATCAGCTTTATTAACCTAACTGGGGTATGAATTAGTTCTTATAAACGTTTTAACTGCATTATTCCCATTTTGATAAATTCAAGGCTATATATCGTCGTTTCCGGCCACTGCTGGGCAATCAACAAAATGCAAAACTGCGTATCAACAAAATGCAAAACCGCGTATGTGAAGTTGTAGAAATTATTTTCTACAGCGTAAAAACACTCATATTTCTAAATGGTTCTCTTTTTTATCAAGCAATCGCATTTCTGGCTAGTATAATTCAGACCGAATGGATAAGGATTGAGTCAAGAGCTTGTGTGAGCAAATCCAACTTTTGGCAGCCAATGTCAGTTACGCGGTTTTGCAGAATGATGGCATGCGGTTTTGTACTTTAAACGACGATATGTATATGGTTATCTTAAAGATATCCGCAGAGATATTTGCTAAACTTTGAAATCAATACTTACCCGATCACGATCGGCATGTATACGTGAAACACCGCTCTGAGCTTTCTCCAGTTCTTGGCGCAAACTCTCCTGTTCACCTTGTGCATTTTCAAGCTTCGCCTTCAACCGGTAAACTTCACCCTGACTCTTCTCCAGCTTCTCCTGCAATGCTGTAGCCTCCTCACGAGCACGTTCGGCATCCGACTGTAAAACGTAGGAGGGCGTAAAGGAAAAGGAAAAAAATATATATTTTATTAATTTTTTTATGTCTAGACGATAACTGTATAGCACTTGCACAAGAAGGATTTTTTAAACAACTACAAAAATATAAATACTTGGAATTTACTAACTAAATAAAACGTAGGAACGAATAAGAGTTTGAAATGAAAATGTTTTCAACAAAGAAACGAACATTGCTTTTAGTACGCAGGTGTGTATGTACGAATATGGAACACAGTTGAGGTGGAAAGCGTCAGAAAGAAAAATTGTTGGTGACAGTAACAGTGACAGTGGTGCGAACACGAGCAATGCAATGGCACAAAGAGACAAGCGATTTAATGCAACTTTTTTGTTTGCGATATGTACAGTGATGCGCGTGCGTGCTTATGCGTTGCTTTAGTTTTTTGTTATTTTTTTTTTTTTTCTTGTGATTGGAGAGGTGACATTTATGCACGAGTGTAGTTGAAAAGCGTTACGAACATGTTGGAGAGCTTAACACAAAAGCACGATTTGATTTGTTTTTTTTATATGAGGGCGATGATTTGCTTCAAATAAACACAACATTCACAACAGATTATCCAAGCTAAATAGACATGATCCATACAATTTTTTACATGGTTATACATTTTAATAATTAGCTAACAAGTACAATTTGCACTGGAACAATCAATTTGTGAGGTTCTAATGCATTCTTTGTTTTAATATTTTACTAAATATACATATGTGACGAATGTATGTAATAGAGCAAAACTGAGTCTCACAGATTAAAAATAAAATAAACTCACGATCGCTCTGTACTATTGGGGGAGATTATCCTCCTAAAGGGTAAAAGATAAATTCCAAATGAGAAAAAGCTCTGCGAAATATTTTAGACCAATTAGCCTCGTGTTGTTGATATTAAAGACCACCGAGAGAATGATTGACATGCAGATATAAAAATAAGGGTTTAAAGAAAGCGATTGCGCACGTCTAGTTAAAGGAATGATCAATGGAAACTTCTTTCGATTTTAATAATGCACTACAAGACGCGATAGTAGAAGCCCTCAGTAATTTCCGAGTCGAAGACAACTTTCTTTTTGCATGGCCTCCGACAAGGGCGTATTCACGCATTCTTTCTCTGGGTTTTTGTCGTTAACGACATCCTGGATTAGCTAAAAACGAGCGGCTGACGGGACATAATGTAAAAAAAAATCTCAGCTGACTGTGTATGATTATATGGAGGGATACTTAAATTTAGTCACTAATTTATCTGATAGCTGCGGACTTACTATTAATCCTGGTAAGAAGGCGCTCACTTTGCTCCCCTTGTACTCTCTGAAAGAGAAATACAAGGTGATACAAGGGTGTTATGGATGTTGTGTTTTTGTTTGATTCTGTTCAGACAATGGGCACTGCAGGCTTTGGCAAACTTAGTCATGGAGCGATACTCAGTTGAATAACGCGTAAAGCTCATCCAAACATCTTATGAAGATCGTCGTTCTGCAAGAAGTGCATATCTCGAATTGCATGATTTTCATTTTCAAATAAACGAATACGTTAACAAATAGAACTGACACATTTGGAGTTGTGAAAACCAATTTGCCATTTAAGAAAATACTATGCACCCACAGCGAGTCATTGTTTGTTGTGGGTTTTGGGCTGGCAGAATAATCGTACAGTACTTCCTCGATAAGGATGCCAGTAACGCTTAAGGCACTATACAAATACACAAACATCTAATTGAGCTCCCAGAACATAAACTTCTAATAGTTACAGGCATGCTCACTGGAAAATGCAGGCTAATATGATGCCTGCATAAGCTGGGAATCAGGGTGGATGACCTATGATGTTTCTGTGACGCAACGGTGGAGGCAACATTGCACCTGCTCCTTTAATGTGATGCCATATCGTGGCGGCGACTAAACAGCAAAGGCTCAATGTGGTCAAAGAAAAAGCGCATACACACCCTTCCACCAAAAGCTCTTCTAGACTTTGTGGAATCAATAGAACGTGTTGTGGTGAGTGAAGGGTACCAACTACTTAGGTCGCGGTGCATACCTCTTTTATATCTACCTGTCTAACACTTTTACAGTGAATAATGAACGTTATCGTAACAGCTAGATGACATGGACTTGGACAATATGTGGTTTCAACTGGACGGTGTCTGTTGCCATACAGCACCATACATGAAGGTCAAATGGCTGCCGAGATCTTGCGATTTGACACAAATGCACTTATTCCTCTGGGGCTACGTGGAAAGTATGCTATCCGCCAGAGGTGAGGAACGAAATCATACCCATTATAAATGATAAACAGCCCATAATTTAATATATACATTTGTAAAATACTGGACGTATGAAATCGTGAACAGTTCAATTATGCTTTATGGAGCCCGTTGTCTGGTATAATTAACTAGAAGAGTCTGTGTGTCCACATTGGGATCAGCGGGTTGCTCCAAGATCGCTCCTACTCTGGCGCCTAAAATTCTGCTTAGCGTTGTCAGCGCAGGCATTGCTGATCGGCATCAGGCTAAGAAGCACTCAGGTCTGTTTCAACTCGGCGAATGGATTGAGAATGGTTCTCTGCGAATTTCGACTTCATAGAGAGTGCTAGCTTCTAAAACAAAATACCACGTATGCCAGTAAACATATTTACGGTTGCAGGTAGAATTGGGGTAGGTGTGTTCAGTCAGGAGCTCTCTGTTAACCACAAGTTTTCTAATATTTACATAAAATTGATTGCTCCAGTGCCACGTAAAAGCTTCAGCAAAGCAGCTTTAGCGCAAATTCACATAGCAAAAAAACATAAATTAAGTTATTTTATAGAAAAAAATATTTATTTGCAAACTTAGAAAAGTATATGTTTAATGAATATTCGCAAGAGTTCAGCAAAAAGTTGACAAAAATATCTTTCCTTATATATAACTCGTTCGCTGGAAGAACGTCGTATTCTAGAAATGGGATCTTAAAGGTTTTCTTAGATTATTTTTACTTGAATGCAAACAAATAAAGTTTTACTTAGACCAAAGTTACCAATTTTTGAAGGGTACTTAATTAAAAAAAAAATTATTTTTTGAATTATGACATTCTGCCAGCAAACGAGCGATAAATGTATTTATGCGAAAATAATTAGTGGAAATTAATATCAATCGAAAATGTTAGTTAGTATGGCATTTGTATTGAAAGATTAAGTGAGAACATCAGATGGATGTAAAGTACAGATGTATGCAGGAATTACGAAAGGTGTTTCAACGACTCAATGACATGTCAATACGAAAATACTATGGCATGTACGTATTTAGTAGACTATATGTATGGATGTATGTATATAAATGTATATTGATATACTCAAAATGAGGATCTTGAAACTTTGGATACTTGTTGTTTGCGATTTTGGAAGCAATTACTCACAAAACGTTTATCTGTATCGCCCTATAATATGAACGTAAGCACAACACGGTTATTTGAATTGTTTGAAAATAACCATTAGAGAGAATTAGTTAAGATTACATAAATAGTATGTAGTGGTAGTAGTAGTAGTAGTAGTTAGTAGCAATAGCAATAGTAGTAGGTAGTATTAGAGCAATACTCGTCAATTATTTATATATATTATTTTATCATAAATATTTTAAGTATAAAACTGAAACTGTTTGAAGGTGCATTTGTATGAGTGTATGTATGTATGTATGTTTATATGTGAGTTTGGTGATGAAACTTTGAACAATTCTGGGTGCAACTATCAGGTTTCCTACGTCAAGAGTACAGCTTCTGCTTCCATGTTCGAGCAGGTCCTATGAAGATACTAACAGTCGGTTTCACCAGCAATTTAAGTTGAAAATTATATTTATTTACGTCCATTTCCACTCGAAATTCAGAAAATTAAAATAATTTTTCACTTAAATTGCTTTCGTGAAATTAGCTGTAATTGTTCCCTTTCATACCCGAATGAGTATGAAAGCGAGTAGTCGTTTTGAAAAATAAACCTTAAAAATTTCGCCAGCTGAGATTGGAACCTGGGACCACAGGATTGCTAAGCGAGTACTATGTATACATGGCAACCCCGTATTTAATATTTCATAGAACAAGTGCGCAGAGGTACATATCTTTTGTTAGAAATTAATGCCGAATTTTATCCCATGGACACTAATTCCGGAATACTCGCCTTAAAGGCTAGTAGGGGCAGTAATAGGGTGCTACGTGCAAAATAAAAACATCCCCCAAAATTTCAAAAAATACTTAAGGATCGCTACCTGGGTCTGATAGAGTTTAAATAAAAATAAAAAATTGCAAATATTCCAGCGTATTGACGTCAGGATTTTTTTTCAAAGGACTTTGAAATTTTAATGATGTGATCAATTCAAAAATTTATTTAAAAAAATCAGTGCAATGTAGAATAAAAATAGTGGTACCAAATGAGAGAGAAAATTCTGTATAATTTAAAGCAATAAAATAAACGATTTTTACGGGTCCGACCCATTGCATTTTTTAGAGGTTTTGGGGGAACTACACAAAATTTTTAATATTAAACAAATTTTAAATAACCAATTGGGTAGTATTTTTTGAAGTCTCCTGAAGAGAAACAGAGTTTGCCGATTGAAAAATATTGATTTTCAAGGATTCTAGTTTAGTCTTAGGCTATTCACACATTTCTAGGGGGTGAGACCGAGAATCCGAGCTCTTTCCGAAATAAGAGCCACTCTAATGTACATATGTATGTATGTGAATACTTCTTGTTCTGAAAATTTTACAAACTATTTATTCGAATATTTAAGTATGTGCATGTGTATACAAGTAAGTTTTAAAGGATTTGTTTATCGATTTCGAAACTTTATTGCGCAAAATTCGTATCGCATCAGTTGTTATTTATAGAAAGCCCGTCGATCATCTGACCACTTCGTAGAAGCGCAACATACTGGATTCCCTTCTGGTCCCACCAAATGTAGAAAATTTCTGCCATGGATATTCGACTTTGGCGTCGATGGTCAGGGTTCGCCGTGCTTAACACGCGCCTTCTGATGCTTTGAATTGTCGTAATGAACCCATTTTTTTTTATCGCCAATCACACTTTAATTAAAAAAATTACTTCACTTTGTATCTCTGAAAGAGTAAGAGTCTTGCTGAGGCTAACATTCATTAAAAATTTCCTCCGATTCGGCGTCTTCGCGCTCCATGCCGGTTATGTCAATATCACCACTTGCGAAATATCGGAACCACTACTCACAGGTTGAAATTATTGGAGCATGCTCTCTGCTGTACTTTTCTTCGGATGACAGCAAAATGCCAATACATTGCGCGAATCGAGTTTAGTGACACAAAAGCTGACATGGTTGTAGCACGAAAAATTTACATACGCTGTTTATACTTTGATGAAATGATACAAAGTACTACAAAATGTGGTTAATATGAATTTGGTTGCAACCCTGTCCGGTATGCTTAAATATTGCTGGTATCTCTCTGTTGATAATCCCTTAAAATATACTTATGTACAAGTATACCCGATAGATACTGAATTCTATCAAATGTATACGTAGTTTGTCACTACGATTTTTTTTGTAAATGTTTTTGTTTTTTTTACTTTTACAACATGTAACACACTAGCACTGTGGTGCGTTGTGAATTTAATTTATTGTGTATTAATTTGTGATGATGCATTGACACATAAGTAAATATGTATGCATGTAAGTGTATGAATAATTTTGATTTTATGCTAAATAATTGATTAAAAAATTACACTGAGATGCGATATTATTCGTACATTACCAAAAAAAAACAAAGTAAAATCCGAAAGAGACAAATAAAAATCCAAAAAGCATTTTTTTGTTTAACTAAGTATATATACTACGGAATTGTTTCCCATTATTAATTAGATACAAAAGGTAAAAATCGAAACAAATCAAATATTAACACCACTTTCAAGTAAAATTCCTTTCAATCATAAACTCCATATCAGTTAAATGCAATCTAATGTATGCAGATGTGTGTGAATGTATATATGTAGTTATGTATATGTAGTGATGTAAAATACATTAGCTAATATGTAGATATGTATATGTATATTTAACTTTTATATATATAAGTATGTTGGTAGATACTGCGGTATATGTAAATATGTATGCATTATAATAAAAAATATGTATGTGAACAAATTATGCAATCGATGACTCAGTAGTCAATACTTTTAAAATGCATAGTAGTAATAATTGCATTCCTACCTGTGTGACGCGCAGCTCAGCTTGTGTTCGCCTCAGTTCTGCAGCTGCCTTGTCAGCGCGCTCTTGTGCTCGATCCAGTTCTTGTGAAGTTGTCATGGTTGTGCGGCCAAATGTTGTCTAAGCACAGGAGCGTTGTTAATAAAATTTTTCAAATTAAAAGAGAAAACATTAAATTAAGTACAAGCATATATCTATATATACATTTGTTATATAATAATTTATAAGTTTATGTATTAGGGCGGTCCAAAAATCCAAAGGAAAATCAATGTTTTAGAATTTTCGCGCTGCCAACTCCCATGACTGAAGAATATCGAAAATAAAGAGGTCACGTAGGCATTTGTTTCATTTTGAAATCGCTTAATAAATATTTAACCGTGCCGTCGGGAAAAGTAAATTTTCTCACAGAATTGCAATAAAATCGTTAAAAACAACTGCCTTTTGATCGAATAAGAATACTTCCCTTTAAAGTTTTAATAACTATTTTTCCAACACGTTCATTATGTGGTCACCAAAACATAAAATAACAAATTTTTGTATATAATAGAAATGATTAACGGTTATGAATTCACCATAATGTTATGTTTTAAAGATGATGAAAACTGTCATGGAAAAAATGACTATGAAGGAAACTAAGTGATACATACCAATCGATTTTTTCACCGAGACTCAAACTTGGAACTTAAATTTTTACTTGCAATTTTTATGCACATTTAGAAAAATAAGAATTAGTTTTGATTTTTATATTATAAATCCACATTAACAATTATTTTTGATCTTCATATTATATGTCCGACTTTTATATCTAAAATCATTCGTTTGAAAGTCACTAACATTTTTCGCAGTTAAGAAGGTGTTGGGAAACAAAAAATTACTACGACTTATACAAATGACTTTTATAAGTATGCTTTAAAAAATAAAGGTCAGTCACTGATTTTTATTCTTTTATAAATAAAAGTCTTCGATAACTATTTTATCTAAGACGTATAATTTAAAAATCAAAATAATTGTTATTTGCAGATTATTTAGACTAAAATAAAAAATATATGTTATTTTGGATTTATAAAATTAAAGTAAAAAAAAAAATATAAAAATTGTTAAGTAGCGATTTTTTAATAAAAGTTGTAACTGTTATAGTCCCGGGTCCTATTCGATCATAAATTATTTGGTTTAAATATTAAACGATCTCAACAAAAAAACAGTATCCTTATTTTCGATGTTGTTCAGTTGTGGGGAGGGACGAGGAGTGACAGGTTTTTCTGCAGATAAAAACTTTGGACCACCCTAATATTTAGTACGTAAGCATGTGTAATGATTCTATCGTTAAAGAATAGGAAGCGTGCAATATATTTTTACAGCAGGAAAATTATTTATGTACATATACGTACATAAGTATTTACATACTTATAGTGGATACATTCAGATGTTTGTAGTTGACAACAATGCATTTACAATACAACATTTATGAGGTATGCACTTTTGCATATGTACATATGTACATATGCACTTATGTAAGTGTTCATGTGCATTTTTCATATGCAAGATAAAATAGCGAGAGCCTGCATGCATGTAAATATATGTATGTATGTATGCATGTGATAAATCTTCTGTGGCAATGAACGGTTCAGATTGGACAATTCATATATCTGTGGTCTCAACGCAAAACAACTTAATCCGGGAGGTTGGCTTTAGTATAATGCACCATACCGTTCAGTATTTCAACCAAGGATGAAACATAATCATCATTTTATAAATTTTAACCAAAAATTCACATGATGTATTAAATTAATAACTAATATTTGAGGGTTATTTTTCGCTCAAAAGAAATAATTATTACTTGATTTCTGTTTTTTTTTTCGATCAAAATTGATGATTATTTTATGATTTTTATTTTTTTGCTCAAAGATAATAATTATAACAGCGTTTTAAGAATAAAACTCAAGAGCTATATTAGCGTGATTTCCGAGAATCCCTCTCAGAGTTATTGATACGGCGAATGAAAGCTGAAAAAAATTCTCCGTAAACCGCATATAAATCACTTTCGATAGGCCTGATGGTTTCTGAGAATTGATTATGTTTTTTTTTTTTAAGAAAATATTAAAAAATTTTAACTTTGAGAAATTTAAAAAATTAAAAAATTTCAATTTATTTTGTATGATATGTAGCTTGTTCCTTTACAAACATAAAATTAAGGCACCAATGAAGAAAATTTATCGATAAATAAAAAAGGAATTAGCGGCCAAATGCAAATGCGCAAGAATTTTTTGTATGAAATATAAGCAGAAAAGAGTGCTACTCAGACGCACATGGCGTATGAGTAACATTCTTTCCTGTTAATTTTGTATACAAAAAAACTTTGCGCATTTGCATTTGGCCACTAATTCTTATTTTATTTATCTATCGATTTTCTTCCTTAGAAACTTTATTTTTTTGCTTTGTAATAGAACAGACTTTAACCCAAATGCAAAAAATTGACAAAGAATCCGTTACTTTTTAATTTTTTTCCCAGTAAAAATTTGTTTTTGTAATTTTTTCATACAAAAAAAAATTGGAATTATTAATTAATCTCTATGAAATTATTAGGCTTAGCGAAAAGTATGTATGTATGTATATGCGGTTTACGGACAATTTCGTTAGCATTCATTTCTCATATTTGGAACCACTTTATTTTTTATGCTGACTAACGGCAACTTGGAAATATCTCGAAAGCTTATTCACAAACAAAAATTTAACTAAATTTTAGGAATCGCCAATCAATTCTACATAGGAATTGGATAGTGGCATACATGAAACATTTTTGCTGTAAGCCAGTGTAATCATCATACATACATACAAAAACATGCAAGCCGCAATTTACGTTTTTCTTTCCCTAGATCCTTATTTTATGTTTGTTATAAAAGTGTAGGTAAGTATTTTTGAACATCATAATGAAAAGCAGTGAATTTAACGCTTTTTTATTTAACTCAGTATCTACATATCAGCAAACCCTTGCCCACCTTTTAGTTAGATGATTGAGCCTAAGGAGAACCTTCAAGCCATCTTTTTACATTTACTTTGCAACTATTGCTTTACAAGCGGTTAAAGTTGCTTAAAATAAAGTATACATTTTTTTTAGAGTAAACGGAGCAGAAAGTGCAAAACTTGGGCTCCTGGAGAGGCCACTTTGGATACTCTAAGTCGGTTGCACATACCAATATGGCAGAAAACCGAAGGCAATAATATAAATATTCATACTGTAGTATAACTAAGGGCCTCCATTTTGGATTTAAGCGATGCCTTGATTATTTAATATACTAGAAGGCAACTGGTGCGCCTACTTTGGGATACAATGTATCAGTTGGGCAAAGTCATGTGGGAAAGTAGAGGATACAGCATAAATGCGTAGAAAGAAGTTGTTTTTCCAAGTTCTATCCTTAAAACTTACGAAGTGTCCTACATTTCAGCTTCCATCCTTCCATCATTTTCACAAAACACCTTCGAACTATTGCCGATGATAGAAGGCGTTTCTTCTTCGAAATAATGAGGAAGTTCAACTCAATTAATTTTCTTAAAAAATTTTTCCATCGTTTAGTCAATTCTTTAAGCGAGTATATTGAGTATTATAAAAAGGTGTTGGGACATGTAATGAACTTCAATGTAGTGCCTCCACTCTTTGCCATGGCATATGAGTAACCTTCTTTTCTATTAGAGTGAAATACCGAAATGACTGATTTCTAAAGATTATTTACTTATTTGTGTATCTTTTTAATGATGCAAACTAGATGTTCTCGAAATGATGTATTTCAGAAAATTAGTATATATGTATATTCAGACATCCACTTACCGATAAACGTCCCGATTCGAGCATTAATTTTTGTACAGACTGAAAAGTTGTGAAAAATTTTAATATTTTTGAAAATAATTTTTGAACACTTCTCTTCTGAGTATGCAATGTAAATATGTATGCTTGTTTGTACAAATGAAGCGCCTAAACTGTAACATTCCAAAGCTTAGTAGTTAGCTCATCAACTAAGGTGCTGGGTTTATGGGATTCATTCGAGCGCTTAAGGTAACAATGAACTGGCGATGCTTAGCTGATATTGTAGATACCAAGATAAATATATTTGAATGTATGTCTGCAGGCAATAGAGCATTGATTTTTAATATACGTACGTTTGTATGTGTGTTTGCATATAGTGGTGAGTAGGTATAGTCGATTCTCACGAGTATATTGCCTTAGTGCAAAATAAACGATTGTTTTTTGATTGTAACGCTACATACAATCAATTAAAAAAAAAAACTTGAGTGCAAAATATACTCGTGAAAAAGCTTGTTTCAACCTTCTGCAAAATTTCGGAGTACAGAACAACTCAGATAGGCTTATCTTTCGTATGCTGAATAGCAGAATTGTCACGAAATGGGGAATTGCCTCTGTCCAGCTTAGGGTGAGTAGAAATACTATGCAAAGGCGCGTTCTTTCATCCTTTCCTAGAGGCCATCGGGTTATCGCTTATATTGACGACGTGGCGCTCATCATCAAAACTGAGCTGCTGGATACTATGTACGAACTTACACAAGGGTATACAATGTTATTTAGTAAAAAATTGGTGGGATATTTGCTGTACATATACTGCAGTAAAATCTCTGTGAAGAAGAGAAGGAAACTCTTTCAAAGATAATCTCCTAATGCAAGTACTTATTTTGCATTGAGTCATGGTCTGGTTTAATTCATTGGGAAAGTCAAAATTAGGTTATAAGTTAGGGTGCGCAGAAAAGGGCCGTCCATGTGGGAATCCGGACGATGCCTATTCTAGCGTTTAAAGTTACTTATGTATTTGGGGCATCAGATTGCATGCTTCACTACACGCATTCCTCTAAAGGCTGAATAGAAAGTCTTTGAAACAGATGTTGGGTAGTATAGTTGGAGTAGGTCTGTTCTTTGTGGAACTCTCCGTTAATATCAAGTTTATGATTTCATTCGACTAGCTACATGCCAGTGCAATACCAATTAGAAGGGTAAACTTTGACAGCCAAGCGGCAATTAAAAGTCTAGGATTGCTTATAGTAGAATCGAAATAACCCAGCGAATGGCTGAGTTGACATATCTCTTGGTCGTTTTTGGGTTACTTAAAAATCGTCGTAACACTTTAGGTCCCTCCCCTTTGTGTGACAACATCAAGGCGCACGCCACAAATATGCGCAAGCGCCAATCTATTATTAATCTATGGGAGCGACTTATGGGCATTATTTTGCATTCGCCAGACGAAGATGCTGCATTTTTGGGTCTGATATTTGTTGGAATTTACAAGTTACGTTTTCCTTCCCCCAAGACGCTACTAAGCTTCTTCAAAGAGGCAGGTATCCTTTTATCCTCTCTGAACTGTTTTTATCAATGCCAACAAAATAAAAAGCCAAGACCTCTGAGTATTCTTGCTCTAAGTATTGAACACCTTTAGACTACCATTTGGTTTAATCGGTTAGTTTTTAGATTAAAAGGCAGAAACTATTTTTTCGTTGGTGTAGAATTCCTCCACAATGCAAAGTAAATTAATCGTATACGCTCACCACTACCACTATATCAAGCATACATCTTTATGTACATATATTTATTATTATATATGGGTCAATTCATGCCAAATCGAATAATGGTTGGAATAGACAATTTTTGATGTTTCCGACAGTGTAGGAGTATGATGTTTTGTGGAATGATTTTTAGTCATTCCATATCAAATTTGGTTAGTAGAAAAACCGGTTTCTGTATGTTTCTGATCCACAATGAATCGTACAAAGATCTGACAAAAACAATTTCCAAAGTTAAAAATTTCATAATTTCCCGGATTTCGAGAGTTTAGTTTGAATAAGTCAAAAACTATTATGGGTTTAAGATGAGATTTGGGCCCAAATAAAAAAGGTATATTAAAAAAAATCTAAAAATAAAAAAAAATTATAAATTTTGAATTCCAAAAATAGTAAAGAAAAAGCTTATAGACATTTTCGGTTAAATGTTTTATACAATATTTCAATTTACATATAGTTTTTTTTACGGATATGCATTTTTGAAGCTTGAATTTTTTTCAAATTTTAAATTAAAAATAAACTGAAATAGGAAAACAAATTTTAGCATAGTTTAGTTAGAGTTTGCAAAATTGCTCTTCTTACACCTTAAAAATTTCCTGGCAATCCCGCACGCGAAATATTTCCTAACACGTTCTGAACCATTTTTGTAACTATAATAATATTTGAGATATTCAAAAAATTATCTTGCAAAATCATCCAATTTAGAACTCGGCATAACTTTCCAAAAAAAAATTTAATTTTTTTTCCATTATAAGAACTTCGTTATATCAATGGTCCTCTGCAATAACGGCATAACTCAAAATTTCAAGTTTTTGAGTTATATACTAGATTTGGTCTACAAATAACCATATTTTTCTTACTAATGTACAGTGGAACATGTCTCACATTTATCGTGAATATTGGCATAAGTCAAAAACTGTCGATATGATAGTGATGCTGCTGTGTGAAATAACGACACTTTTCGCGTTGTGCGGTTGTTCAGTAATATCAGTGGAGTTTTTTTTTTCATTTAACTACTTAGGAGTTGTTACTTATTTCGTACTTTTGTAGTACAACCCTTACTAAATCTTTAGAAAAAAGTCATAATTTGAAAGCTTGCAAATTTTCCCATCAGAATGGCTGCAAATAATCCGGAAAAATTATGTTCCAAGACATATTATTACTAAATTACGGAACACAAAATCTTTAGCTGAAAACTATGAAATTTTAAGTTGGGTCTTTATTGGAGAGGACCATCGATATGATGAAGGCAAAGTTCTGACCAAAAATCCTCTAAATTAAAAAATGTTCGATCCCAAACATTGGGCGATTTGACATACATTTTTACCCATATGTATGAGTTCTTCATGTTCTGTTGATTTTGATAAGTGTTCTAGTGTAAAATTACTCATTCTTTAAGCTTTCATTCCGCAGGTACATCTGCAATTAATTTTGGTTAAAGTCACGTTACTGTTAACTTCTATACAAAAAAACAAGTGATTTGTAGTTTTTGGTATTTGTTATTTTAAGTTTTTGTCCAGTCGGTCATGTGTGTGCTACTCAAACGACAAAATATTTAGCATTGCTGTCAAATATTTCTGGAACTCTTATTACAAGAATGCTTATGGGGTGCAACACAACAACAATGTAGCGATATATGTTTAACATAATTGTAATCGAGCAAAGATACTTTATTTAATGCTATGGTTAGTACAAAATGTGCGCGCCTTTAATATTAATTAGAACACTTAATTTCTGAACATTTCTTTTATTATTTTATAATTGTTAAACTCGTGATTTTTTTTGTAGCAACTACAATACTTTTATATACAGTGCAGTTAAGCGTGTTCGATGATCATAAAGGCTTCGTAATTACTCGAATGTATGCTCGCTCATGAGTAACCCGCGAAAAGTGGGTGTACATTAGGGTTGATCAAAAAACAAAATCCATTTCGAAATTGGCCGTTTTCCAATCGGAAAAAAATTACGATAGACCAAAACTCTCAAATCATGGTTATTATATATATATTTTTTTAATTTTCTAGATAGATTTTGAGTATGCAGGTTTGGATGTCATCAACTTCAAGTTTCAAGGTGCCAAAAAATCGTATTTTTTTTATTTTTTTTTTTACTATTTTTTTGTGCTTTTTGGTTTTTCCATACAAGATATGTTACACAGTCGTTCTTTTATGTGAAAAAATTCGTGCCACTCTTAGCAAAAAAAAAAAATGCCAAAAATCAACGCGATTTTTTAGCAACATAAGACTTGCACACTCAAAATATTTTTAGAAATTCCTTAAAAAAAAAAGTATAAAAGAACCACAATTTGTGAAATTTTTGGAAACTTGGACGACCGTAATATTATCCGATCCGAAAACGATTTAATACGGTTATTTAATATGATCATGTTACCCGACTTTTCCGAACTATTTGAATTTTGAAACCGAAAAATTGATTTTTTTCGCCCCAATCTAATGTCACACAATGTTCACACCCTTCAAGCCACTGCTCGCTCTCTGCCCATGGCTTCTCGTGAGACATTTGTGTGCGAGCATTTATGAGGCCTCTTATGATCAACGCAATACTTCGGCATTTCCCTGCTGGTATATGCAACAGCTTAGTTTATGTTTTAATGCTATAATCGTGAACTATAGTTAGATACAAAAGTGATATTTTTTTAGGGATTTCATAGAAAAAAATCTTACTTTATGTAGTGTGGTCTGTTCATCTAGCTGCATCTATTTTGGTGGTAGTTATAGTAGTAGGTAGTAATAGTAGTAGAACATAGTTGTAGATAGGTAGGTGGTTGGTTGAGTGGAGTTAATGTGTACATGTAAATAATAATAATAATAGCACAGTAAAACATTATTGCTTTAATAAAAACACACATATATATATAGTTAGATAAGTAAATTGAGTATTCAAGGTAAATATACATATGTATGCAGGTAGTAGTATTTTATTCAATTTTATTTTTATTTTTTTTCGAGAGTTCAATGACCGAATTTCATTATCGTAATTTGTAATTAGCATTAGATTCGATAAAAAGGTTGTTTATGCATTAAAATAGTAGCAGCTATAAAAATAGTAATTTTAGGGTACAAAACATCAAACGCATATTTATATATAGTAGATAGTAGGTATATATCATATAAAAGTCTCATTAGAGTAGCATTAAAGAGAGCGACGAAGTTGGCGCGCTTTTTTGTTTTTTTGTTTTTTTTTTTTGGTATGGACTAAGTCCATTGCTCTATACTACATAGCTAACCAATCCTATCAATATGCATTCCAGTACCTGTGAGCGTTCCAAATCATGTTTCAAGCGTTCATTTTCCAATTCAAGGCGTGCGATACGTTGTTTGGTTGACTCCCAATCGGCATTGCTGCGTCCCATTTCGCATGTGGCCTTCTCTAATTCCGCCTTCGATTTACCCAATTCACTTTGCGATGCCTCCAACTTGATTTCCAATCGTTCACGTTCGGTAACGGCACGCTCCAGGCGTGTATTCAACTTTTCCACTTCACTTTCGAGTGCGCGCAACTTGATCTTGTAATCGGCAATTTCACGCTCATGTAATTCACGCTCCTCTTGCTTTTCATGTTCGGCACGATCTCGCTGTTCTCGCAGTTGGGCCATTTGTTTCTCTTTATCACCAATGGCTTCTTCGAGACTTGTGAGAGCGCCCTCGGAGCTGCTGTGATGAGCCTGCATTGCCGATAGACGTGCACGCGCCATATCCACCTGATTATCCTTCTCTTTGAGCAGATCCTCGAGATTTTCAATCTGTAGGTTGTGGCGCATGAAACGGAAGCCAAGAAACGCACAACAAGAAAACAAAAGCAAAACAAAAAAAATGGAAGAAACAAACAAATTCCAACATAGAAAACGAATTGTAAATAAAAGTAAAGATAAAATTTATGATAAATTAGTTTATTTTGTACTCAATTCGTTGCAAACATATAAGTTTGTTGAAAATTTAAGTACGCAAATTTAAAGTTCAGTGTATGTTTGATTTGGTGTGTATGGTGATGTAGTTGGACGTTGTTGTTGTGGTGGTGGTGGTTTTGTTGTGTTGTAGTGAATTTCATTATTATAGTGCACCTTTCGCTGTAACACGTTGATCTTGCGATCCTTAATCTCCATGTGATCCTTCAATTCGGTGAGTTCACTAGTCAAACGATTCCGTTCCTGCACTGTTTGTAGTGTGCCCTGCGTCTTCTTCTCAATCAGGCGATTCTTCTCCTCAAGGCGGGCGCGCAACTCCTCAACGTCAGTCTGCAACATATTGTAGTGCTCCTCCTTGGCACATAACGACTCCTTGAGAACCGCTATGTGCCGCTGATAATCCTATAAATTTTACAAAATACCAAAATATCAATGGGTTTACAGTTGGCATTATCCACTTTTTGAGGTGAAACTCGAAACTACTCTGAAGTGAGTTCCAAAATACAAGTTTCTTTTGTTTTAATGTAACTAAAAAAAATATTAGTAGTTAGAGCGCTTCATTCTAGAAAACTAAACACCGCTCAGATACTTTACTCTTCAACCTTTTTGTGAAATATTGAAAACATAGAAAGGATAGAACGGATGAGCTGTGGTTTCACCTTCATAATTTTTTCAAAAGAATCGAAGTTAAAATGAATTAGCCGCTTAAGACGACTGCCGTCTAAGCTGAATAATACAAATCGCTAAAAAAATAGACCGATACATTCACAGGGATAAGGTCCCATTCCTACTGAAAATATTTGTTGTTTAATTATATTGATAAGTCTAAGCGTTTTGCGTGGGTATATGTTCAGGGCTTGGAACGTGATCAGGATGCCGATCAATGACCAGCAAACACTTTTAGATCTCTCCCACGGATTTTAGACCAATCAGCCGCTCTACGCCTACATAAATCAAGGGAAGATTGCTTGAAAGACCTTACTGTGGGTGCTCATTCTCGACATCGAGGAAGCTTTAACAATAATCTCAGATCCCATATTAAAATTGGGGTCAAAACGGCCCTAGTTGGGTTCACATTTAATTACGTCTGATTATTTCGTAGTTACGCTTATATTACAGGAATCTCTGTTGTGGACAAACTTTAGTTTTACTAGAACGTATTCTATTACTATTGTTACATAATTTTGGTATTTAATTTTTTAAGAAACTTGTATTCGGACCACCCTTTATATGCATGTTCGCACAAAAAAAAAGCATATTCATAACCAGTCAATTACCTGATGTTGCTCTTCTAACGTTTTCATTTTGGCCGCCATCGCCAATATTTCTTGATCCCTTCTTTGTATTTCAAGACGGAATTCGTCCAACTTAAATGCCAACCAAGGTAGAATTTGGAAAAAATAAATTTCAATATATTAATTTACTGTTACACAGCGTATTTGTTTGTGTGTATTTTAAAGAGAGAATTTCAGTTCTCTAACGTTGAATGGCAATGAGAAATGTGTGCCTCATTTTTACTTTTTTTTTTTTTCAATGTAACACCAGAGAGTTATGGGCGCTAAAAAATGCATGAAAATGATGAAAATTTGATAAATGTTTAACGATTGAGAGAAGAAGATCGCGCGTTTAAGATACATAGAGCGAAAAAGAGAGAGTGCGCATATGAGCGGGAATATGAAAGTGCATTCATGATGAGATGAATGAAGATACACATATTTGTTGTTATTTATAACTCTGTACTCTGTATGCGCTTGTGAAAGACGAACAAGTTGAATTCGAAAATTTGGTTGCTTGACTTTTTCTTGCATAAACGCCGAGTCAGGCGTTGACAAACTTTATTTACTTGTGAGCGAAAATTACAAAGTTCGTATAATTCATTTAGATTTTTGTTTTTTGTTTTTGTGTAGACGAAGGTGCAGTAGTGCGCTTTACAATTTCCAATTGTGTAAATTTTGTATGCATATAGTTTCTATATACATATACGATTGCTTTTTTTGATGTTTTCTTTTTGAGTACCTGTTAGTTACTGAAATCAGCTAAATTTTTGTTTCAGTGTATGTGAGTGGGTGGTCAGTATATTCGAAATCGTAAACTGCTTGTGGGTGTACTACAGAGAGTAAGCATTGCCAAAATGTATGAAATATTTTGTTAGGGTTTAGTTTTTTAATTAATTTTATTTTTATTATATTTCAATAAAATTTGAAGATTAATTATAATATTATTTTTTGTATTCACCTTTTGTTTTTTTTTCGTTTGTCTTTAGTAATATTAATTACAATCTTTTATTGATTGTTTCGCTAAATTTTTGAACTCAGCGTATGTATGTATGCATTGCATGTATGTATATGTATTCATATATGTAAATTTAAATATATTATAAATACTGCTTTGTAATTTAATATACTAGTAGATTCAATAAATGCTTCAGTTAGTTACTTTGAATTTTATTAAAGAAACATTTTGCGATATTTGCTATTTGAAATACTTTTCAAAAGGCGAATAAAAATGATGTAGAGAAATGTTTGTGATTTGTAGAAACTCAGGTTTCTTATCATTATTCAGGGTTTCAGTTGTTCTCTATTAGTAGCGAATTAAAATACTTTTCATAGAAAAAGTTAAATATTTTGCTTCACTCAGAAGCGGGTTTTAAATGATAAGAAAGTTGCTTTCGAATTTTGGTCCTCAAATTAAAGGGAGTTTTCTAAATTGATTTCCCAGGTGTATTTTACTTTACCTAAATAACAATATCTTGTATACTTGACAAATATCGTTTGAATTTTATTCGAATTTCTAGCGAACGTTTCCTTTCTGCGGATCAGTGACAAACCCAAATAGACTACAAAGAGAGTCAATAGGCGCCCCCCGGCCCATGTTCACATCTTTTTTAAGCTTTCTTTATATTTTGTGCAGACGTTCATACCATAGAAGTTCTCTTAGTTAGCGTAACATTGTTTTGCAACAGTCACGCCGGAAACATATGTACCTCACGGCAAAACTCTTTAAAGAAGTTATAAGCCGCGCGCTCGCAGAGCTTTTTAAGCTTTCTATAAATTTTGTAAAAGCCCTCGATGCTCATTCCCAGAAAACCTAGTATGTAATGTTGAAAAAAACTTATCTAATATTTTCGCGAATCGAACTAAGTATGTTAGAATTCGATTAGAGAGTGATTAGAAAAATACTAGACATTAGAAACCAATTTAAATAAAATTTTTCTCGATATCGATATCCCTATTTGTATAGATATTTCGCTATTCGGTTTCAAGTCTTCGAACTTGGAAAACAAATTAGAATGCGAATCGTTTTCTAATCATTCTCTAGCCTAATTTTTTTTTGGTGTACTGGTTTTAAACTTTTCTAGGATTATCCATGGATACAAAGATAGCAAAATCTTCTTTGATCAACACTTTTCTTTTTTTAAACTGGTGAGCTTTCAAAGCTTTATATACTGATAAAAACTGACCTAAATGCACTTCAAACTTTTTACGTACGTAAGTATTAGTTGATGATACCTGTAAGTATTGGCTTAGTTGTTAACTTACTTCGAAAAAGGTAATTTTTTATCTAGTGAGCTTTCAATTATTACATAGCTTCTCACTGTTCTGGGACTAATTTAAGCATATATAGGTCATTGCTGCATCCAACGAAAATGCCAGTATACGTCTGCTAAAATCGATTTGATCCACTTTGTATAGCCGCGTGAGCTTACTTTGCCCATCACTGCTATAATCGACAGCTTTTCCCAATCATCAGCGACTTTGACTAAATACCCGTAGCCTTTCAGGGATATTCAGGCAACGGCCTTTCAACTCACCACAGTCTTTTGAAAGACGAAAGTCATTCGTAAGACGATTGTCCATTCTGGCAACTATGTATATTGAAAGCTCTTTTCTGAATATTTGAAATAAGTTTTCTAAAAAATAAATTAATTAAAAAATATATATTTCTTTTTAAAAATATAACCAATTAAAAGAAAGTTAAAAAACTTAAAATATAAGAAAAAAATTCATAAAATAAGTTCCTGAAAATTTAATTAAATTATTATTTTTTTAACAATAAAACAGAAAATTTAATTAAAATAAGAAAACAATTAATATATTTCTTTTTAAAATAATGAAATCAAAAAACCAAAAAAAAAATAAATCAAAAATAAAAGCAAATAAATGTAAAACAAGTAACTAGGTTTCTAAAAATTAAAGAAAATTTAAATTATATTTTTCTTTTAAAACAGTAAAACCTTAAAAATAAAATACAATGAAATTAAAAGAGACAAAAAAACGCAAGATATGTTTCTTATAATGTTTTGAATTTATACTTTGAATATGAATACGAATATGAATATATGTTTTTCTGTTGAAAACTATAAAATCAAAAATTAAAAGAAAACAAAAACCGGCGCCCGAGGACTAGACATTTGGGTCCCTCGAGTGGCATGACATGGCTTTGCTCACCCAGTCACTGCGACTGTTGGTAAAATAAGTTTTTCATCATGAAATTTGGCAAGGGAGCTTTTTATACAAGACTCCCGCCCAGGGTGTGAATTTCAAAATACTTGCAACTATCTTAGACAGAAATGTCCCATTAAAAAGGTTTAATACTAAAAAATTGCTGGTTATTACAAGAGCACGATTGAAGCTTTCTTATGAAGAAAGTCAATTAACTTATGTATCTATTACTTTGGAATCTGCAGAAATAATACCTTTAACGTATTTTAAACGAACTAATGTTGAGCAGAGGGAGCTTTTATACTGTGACCAACTAAATAAATACTTAAATAAAATGTAAATAAGCTTGGTGGGCGTTCCTATAAATTGACTAACTCGGTTGCACGTTGCCTTTTATAGCAAATATCGCTTTTTGTAAATAAGTATGTACATACATAGATTTTGTGTGTAAGTAAGAATTAATTATTTTATACTGTTTATCAACTAAACTGCCTATAACGGAACTTAAAACTTAATGAAATGTTATATTACATACATATTTACCTTTTTTTTGTAATTTCACCATATGTATTATGCATGTTTGTATTTGTATGTACGCATACATACGCACAATTTTGCATTCGCTTCTTTGTTAATGTGTAGAAAGCTTAACATTTCGTCCTTTACTAAATCACTATCTTCTAATTACATACTATCTACTATGCATTACATTTAGGCTTGTATGTATGTATTTGTGTATATGCTAATCAAAAAGAATAACAGTCAGTTTACATATACGTAAATAGTATCAATATACCATTAACGGTATTTTTGTTTAAATGCAAGTTGCTTTATTTGTATGTATGTAAGTAAATATGTATACAATTACACTGAATTATTGGCTAGTCTGCGCTATTTTCATTTACGAGTACCAGTATTATTGTATTAGATATACCTTTATGTAAAATGTATAAGCATACATATAAGTAAGTAGAATTTCTTGAGTATTTTCGTTAGTTCTGGTAAATTTGCCGATTTTATTAACAAGAAATTATATGTTTGTGTATATTGTATGACTTTGCATATCATAGCATAGATTTTTCGTTTGTAGAAGTTCGAAGAAATATCGTTGACTTTCGTTACTAATAGTTCTAGTTCGTCGAATTTGTTAGGCTGTGTGGAAATATTTCGTTAACAAAAATCGAATCTTGCGAAACTTTGCGGCAGCATTTTCAAAAACTAATCAATACTAAGTTCTTCAAAACATTGATCTTGTGTATAATTTTTTAAAATTTTGGATGTATGTATTAGGGTGGGTATTTTTTTTTTTGACTATGAGAGTATAGCGTATAATGCACAGAAAATTTGGGTCTAAAATCAATTTGGAGTTCGCAAAACTGCAAAAATAGGTTTTGAAGAAAATGTGAAAATTTTCACTGTTGCGCCCTCTGGAGGACGTTTTAAGTAAAAGATAAGCGCGGAACGGATTCCTCATACCAAAAAACCTCTATTCAAAATTTAAGCGCTTTTTTACGGCACTCAAGCAAAATAAATGCTAAGAAACCTATTTTCGCAATTCGCAACTCCAAATAGATTTTAGACCTGCAAATTTTCTTAGAATCTCAGAATCTTGGAATCTTTCTATACAAGACGCGCATAGTCAACAAAATCTTCCATATAAATTAACCCGCCCTAGTATGTATACTTGTAACCAGTTTTATGGGAAACACACTAACAATAGTTTGATGGACACAAAAATTAACGTTATTGTGAAAAGCACCATTATTAGGCCAGGCACTTAAGGCGGAAAAAAATTCCGCCCAGTTTAAAAAGGGTAACGAGCGTATCAGAAAAATACTTTTATAAATTTTAGTCAATCTCTGAATTTGACAGGAAATATTTTTTAATTAATTACAAACTATTGACAATTACGGCATCGCTGATAA